CACTGGACCAGTGCTCTGTCATTGAGCTTCTTCCTGACCGCAGAAGTACATAGATGTAGATCAGTGTAGATGGCGTTGTGCCTGGCTGACCTCTGCTGACCCGCGGCCCTGGGGTCTCAGTCACACAGAAAGGAGGGAGGTTTACCTCGCTGGACTTCAGGACCCCAAACAGTGGGTAGAGGAAGGCTGGCACGAGTGCAGCAGCACCCAGAGGGACGGCTTCCGACACCCAGTAGACCGCCGTCACAATCAGCACGTAGGCACAGGAGGCCTCCTGTCAGAGAGAGAGAGCAGGGTCCCAGTTAAAAGCACTCGACGTTACAAGGTACAGAGGAAGCAGCACACGGATGTGATCACCCCTGAGTTCAGTGAATATTCACTTGTTGAATATTCCTCCCAAAAAGTCAGATTTCCTCAGCCGAGAACTTGACAGGGACCAAACCAACTATTCGCACCGCCTGCTGTTGAGCAAGAGAGACAGTGGACGGCCAGCTGGAACCTTCAGCTTCCTGGTTTTTCAACCATCACCCAGCCAATTGTCTTCCGCCATTTTGTCAGGTGACCAGAAACGGCAGGTCATTCCCCATTGCATTCTGGGTGGTGCAGTTTCAAGAAGACCCTGCATCTTGTCTCCACGTACAACGGCGATCTCTCTAACCTCTCAGAATGTGTTCAAAGTGTTCGCCACATCTAATAAAATATATTGGTGCCGATATTTATGTATGGAACGTCTTTGGTTTTCAGTTTTAAAGAACATTTTGTTGCGACCGGTGAATCTTTGTACCTTTGATCTACAAGCTTCCAAACATGAGCTATTTTCTTATCTCATTAGTGCTGATTTCTCTGTTCACAAACACTCATTGCATGCTTGTGGCAGTTTTACTTTATCACCTAGCTTTGAAGACAGCACCCTACAGACCTAGCCCTCCTGTGAGGGTCTGTGCTCTGATTAACCACATTCACTGAGTTTTCTGAAAATCTGTAATTCCTTGATTTATTTTCCTTCTCCTCCGGCGTACTTCGGTTAGCACCATAAATAAACAGCACAGGAGTGCTGGAACTTGACCAATAAAGTGCTATGTGACCGCGCTCCAGGAGAACAGGACTTTGGCGCTGTACAAATTCAGAACACTGCGACATGCACGTCGAGGACTGAACCAGCTTTTAATCCAAAGTGATTGTTCTGACAAAGAAAACTCAGGAGATCAAAGAGCGAGGACACATGAAGGCTTCATAACTTTGACCGACCGCTTAATAAAATCCTGTCACAGAATCAGATCCTACCCGTAATGAAAGGCCAGAGCCTAAGATTTTAGCAATTAGTCAAATTGGATTTTTTCCATGTTTATTTTAAAGAACTTCTGGTGTGGGTATAAGCTTATTCCACAACCAACAAAAGTTCTGGAACCGATCTACAGATCCTAAGCCTACTATGATGTTAACAGTACAGCTTTCCTCTGTTCCTATTGTAGACTATCTGACTGCAACGATAAGATTCATCTGGCTTCCCAGGCAAGTCAGTCCGTCCCTTATCTTCGTTCATTAGTTATCCACTAGTTCGGGTTTACCTGTGCATTTCTAGAAACGGAATTCAGACGAAAACACTGCAGTTTCCTCAAAGACAGAGCGTCAGAACTTTGTCTCCCCCCTGTATCAGATTAAAATATTTATTCATGTTTTTGCATTTTAATCTTCATTCTACACCCCTAGATCATTTCAAGCTTCCATTTGGGGACTGAAATAAGCCTTCCATAACAGAGCCTGAGAAATGTTCAAACGCACCAGGCTAAACCATAACACCAGGGCCGGATTTCCCATGAGGCACCACAGGCACAGTGTCTAGGGCCCACGAAATTATTAAGGGCCCACGAAGGAGGGGAACACGAGCGACTGACGAGAAACGAGCTGGGACAACAGGCCTGCGATGGACTCCAGGTGCTCCAGATCGACGATCAGACGCTGTCCAGCGGCTCTTCTAGAGACTAGGAGTGTCGAAGTGACAGTTGCTCGACTCGATCCATCAATCACGCGGTTTAGCATGAGAACAGTTCGGAGTGTGTCTGGTGTGTCCCCCTCTTTCTGCACATTTGGGAGTGCAAGTGCCCGGGGGCCTACGAACAACCACAATCCGACCCCGCATGACAGTGGAGCTCCTTGCTGTAAAGAGCAGAGCCAGTTCTATAAAAAAAAAAGATGCCATAGAACAGCCTCACACACTCAACACCAGAGCCAGTCTTCCCAGAAGCCAATATACCCACCAGCACGTCTTTGGACTGAGGGAGGAAACTGGAACACTTGGGGGAAACCCACGTGAACACGAGAAGAACACGCAGACTCCACCCAGACAGCACCCCGGGTCAGGATTTGAACCCAGGGCCCCAGCAAAGCGAAACACTGTGCCACCTGTCGTGAAATCAGGATTTACTCATTCAGAAGTAGTCAAACGTGCATCTGTAAGACTGATTTAACTGTTTGAATGTTCCTCAGGAATGACATGACACATACTGCGGTTTCTAATTGGGAATTTTTACAGAGCTTAGAAAACGCACCTCAACCCCAGTCTCCGAACTCTTGGCATTCAAAGCGCTACCCCTGTTGTGAGAGAAGGCAAGCTATTCCGAACTTCATTAAGCAGGCTTTGGGAGTTATGCAACGTGGCTAAATTTAACCTCTCCCCTCATTTAAAAAAAAAAACAACCAAAAGAAACAAATGACATTGTTTGGAGAATTTAACAAAGGAGAACTCTCGGCCACCTGACGTGTGCGCTTGATTGGTAGTGACATTTTCAAACTGATTAAAGTTCTCCGTCTGCACAATCGGGTCTTTACGGGATTAGGAGCCCACCAGACGGAGTTTCTGGAGAAGCACTGGGACGCTGGAATGCACGCACCAGACAAAAGTACCTGCTGTAGACAGTATATGCCTTTATATACCTGCTGGACTGTATATGCCTGTTGAAATTCTTGATGACTACAAGTACTTAGGACTGATCATTGACAAAAACTTCAAATGGGACAAATGCTGTGACACGATCTATAAAAAAAGGCCAACAGAGACTCTTCTTTTTTAGAAAACTCCGCTACTTTAAGGTCGATAAAACTTGCTGTGCACAGTATATGCCTTTATATACCTGCGGTATATATACCTCTATATAACTACTGTACACAGTATTTACCTGCTGTATATATACTCCTATATTAACTGGTGTATACAGTATATACCTTTTTTATACCTGCTGTATACAGTATATACAGTGTATACCTCTATTAACTGCTGTACATATACGCCTATATTAACTGGTGTATACAGTATATACCTTTTTTATACCTGCTGTATACAGTATATACAGT